GCCAGGGGGTGCCGCCTGCCTTCGCTCACCCTGGGGATGAGCGGCTCCTAGAATTTTGTCCTACTGGGTAAGTTGGCCTTACTTCAGTCCTGGCCCGAAATGCGCAGGAAAAATCATCCTCATGGACGTTGGATGGAAGAGCCCGTAGCCTGCCAGCCTGTGACCTCTTAGGAGGCGGGGATCATGTCTTTGTATTTAAATATTTATCTTCATCTTCCCTATGTCCTCGTGTTGAGCAGAGAGCCTGGCACAGAGGAGACTCTCAATAAATGTTCATTGAATGAGTAAATATTTGTTTAATGACACAGGTGGGGGGCACACGGGGCAAATGTGGTCAGCAAATAAACACAGGGCTCTAAATCATGTCTCCAAACAGAAATTCAGCAAAGCAGAAAGAGTATTTGTTACATTAATGGGTCAAGGGAAGGCCTTGCCCTGGAGTTCGGTATTAAAACTTACTTTCCAATGTGTAGAATGTGTATAACTTGTAATCAAAATCAAGGTCTGATACTCTTAACACTGGAACAAATGCATGATTCACCGAGCTCCGAAGTAGAAAAATGTTCTGCAAAAGTTATCGCATTCAATGTGTTCTCCTCCTACATCCCGGAGAGACTTTTAAAAGAAATACAAATAGTTCTTCCTTAAAAAAAAAAAAATAGAAATGTCACTTTATTGTTAGAGTTGGGGTTGCTACGTTACTTAATGATATTCGATGTCACTTCTGCTCATCCAAGAACAATCATTCTTTTCCTTCTCTCTCTTTTTCTTTTTGGAATTATGTATCTGAAGCCTAAATAAATATTCATTTGGGGAGAGTGAATTCTTAGCACGAAATTTGTAATAATGAATTCAGTTTTTTTTTTCATTCTAACGAAGTTTTAAATTCAAGAACAAATAGAGAGGAACGATTAGAATTCTCTTTTCTCCAGAGATCAAAGGGAGAAAGACAGCTCATCTGATTCTTCTACACCCACTTTGTACTATAAAGTGAAATGACATACAATTATCAGCTTTCTACCAGGTCCCTCAGTTTTAAATGACAGGCAACTCAAGATGAGCTGAATTTACACCCAACAAGAACTGAATTAATAAAGTGAGGTTAATGATGCTCATGTTCTATGATTGAAAGTATTTGTGGTCTAACAGACACATGAGTTTAGTCTTTGTTTTCAGAGGCATGAAGTGAGAGGTGAAAATGCCCTAAGAGGTGCAGAGGATTCTGTCTTTCCGTTCCTCCACCAGCTTCCTACCCACTCCCACTCCTCAGCCCCACTGCTACAAGAGAAAACACAGAACACTGGAGGCTGAGTGATACATTTATGCCCTTGACAAAGGTAACCAGGGTGGTATGCTGAATTTTATAAAAAAAAAACTTACCAGGTGAAGCAAATCAGTTAAGTAGATTGAATGTGTCAAATTTAGATGGACCAGGAGTTTGCATATTAGCTAAATCTTTGTATTGGGCTTTGTTCTCTTTTTTACTTTGTATTTCTCAAGTTACCTTAAATATTTATAAATTTAACTTCTTTTACTAAAACAAAAAATTTTAACAACAATGTTTACAAACCAAAAAACCACCATAGTTTATTTTTTAAATGTATTCTATGGGAGGATGTGCACAGCAATTAAAAAATATTTCTTAGATATTTTTATGCTCAAAAGTGCAAGAATTAAAAAAGATCTGTAAGGACTTCCCTGGTACTCCAGTGGCTAAGACTCTGCTCCCAATGCTGGGGCTCCAGTTGCATCCCTGGTCAGGGAGTTAGAACCCACAGGCTGCAGCTGAGGATCCCATGTATGCAACTAAGACCCAGTGTAGCCAAATAAATAAATAAACATTTTTAAATAAATAAAAGTTTTAAAAGACCTGTAACTTTCTATTCTGATTACCCCTGTTGATTTTTTTTAATTGAAAGCAATAAATACATTTCATAAGAAAAATTCAAACTACACAAAAAGGTATACATTTGAACTAAAAGCTTCTTTCTTCCCCCAGTTATTCTTCTCCAAAGAGACTCCTGTTGATTTCTTGAGTGTCTTGGAAGAAAAAAAGGGCTATATCAGATTTCTTTTAAAAATTTTACAAGGGGTATAATATATTCTACTCTGAACCTTGTCTTTTTTACTTAGTAATATATCTTGAACATTTCTTTACATCAGCACATGTAGATCTACAGTGGCCAGGACTTGAAAAAGTCAGTTTTCATTCCAGTTCCAAAGAAAGGCAATGCCAAAGAATGCTCAAACTACCGCACAATTGCACTTATCTCACATGCTAGCAAAGTAATGCTCAAAATTCTCCAAGCCAGACTTCAACAGTATGTGAACCGTGAACTTCCAGATGTTCCAGTTGGTTTTAGAAAAGGCAGAGGAACCAGAGATCAAATTGCCAACATCTGCTGGGTCATCGTAAAAATAAGAGAGTTCCAAAAAAACCATCTATATCTGCTTTATTGATTATGCCAAAGCCTTTGACTGTGTGGATCACCACAGTGTGGAAAATTCTGAAAGAGATGGGCATACCAGACCACCTGGCCTGCCTCTTGAGNTTCATTGGAAGGACTGATGCTGAAGCTGAAACTCCAATACTTTGGCCACTTGATGCAAAGAGCTGACTCATTTGAAAAGACCCTGATGCTGGGAAAGATTGAAGGTGGGAGGAGAAAGGGACGACAGAGGATGAGATGGTTGGATGGCATCACCGATTCAATGGACATGAGTTTGAGTAAACTCCGAGAGCTGGTGATGGACAGGGAGACCTGGCGTACTACAGTCCATGGGGTTGCAAAGGGTCAGACATGACCGATTGACTGAACAGAACCGACCTGATAAATCTACTTTTTTATTGCTGTAAGTTTCCCTAGAATTCCATTATACAAACGTGCCCTAAATTTTTATTTAAACTGTCCCCTACCGATGGACATCACAACAATCCTTTTGTTATTACAAAAAAAGTTTCTATCAGCAATTTTTAACATATATCCTGATGTTGTTCTTCATATATATTTATAAGGTAACCAGGGTTAATGTGGGCGTCCCAGGTGGCGCTAGTGGTAAAGAACCTTCCTGGCAATGCAGGAGACATAAGAAACGTTGGTTTGATCCCTGGATCAGGAAGATCCCCTGGAGGAGGGCATGGCAATCCACTCCAGTATTCTTGCCTGGAGAATCCCCATGGACAGAGGAACCTGACAGGCTACAGTCCATGGAATCACAAAGAGTCGGACACAACTGAAGCCATTGAACATGCAGGCAGGCAGGGCTAACGTAGACAGCAGTACAGGCTGTAGACTACACAAAGTGACTCCTTTGTACGGACACAAATCACTTTGTAGACGTCATAACTTTAGTTTTTTAATTTTTCATTTTATTTAAAGATTTTTTATTGGCCTATAGTTGATTTACAATGTTGTGTTAGTTTCAGGTGGATGTCACAACTGCAAATACTTATTATGATAATTTTCTGGCAGATAAACATAAAACGTCTTGAGGAAGAAATCCTTTTTCTCTAATTTACAAAAAATCATCTCTGCCCTGAGTGAACAACGAGCAACAGAATTGCTGAGTCAAAGGGCACATGGGGGCTTCCTGGTGGCTCAGTGGGAAAGAATCTGCCTGCCCGTGCAGGGGACACAGGTTTGATCCCTGGTCCGGGAACAATCTCCCATGCCTCGGAGCAACTAATACTGTGGGCCGCAACTGTTGAGCCTGCACTCTAGAGCCTGGGAGCTGCAACTACCAAAGCCCACATGCCCTAGGGCCCGTGCTCCACAACAAGAGAAGCCATGGCAATGAGCAGCTCATGCACCACTAACTAGGGAGTAGCCCCTGCTCCCCACAACTAGAGAAAGTCTGAGTGGCGCAGCGAAGACCCAGCAAAGCCAGGGCAAAACTGGGTGATTTGCTTGCTACCTCCTTCCCCTTCCTTCCAGGGGACCATCTAATGTATCGTTTCTCGAAGGAACACAGACCAGCAGGAAAGAGAAGCAGCTGCTCTAGAACCTAAAAGCCTACAGACTTGATTCCTAGACAGATGTGTGTTGATCAAACTGACTTCTTTTGTTCTTCTCTGGAGGGATTAAGTGAACAGTATCAGGAAAGGTGTAGGAATACTGTGATGGAGCTATGGTGGGATGTTGGTATTGTGGGATCAAAGACGGAATTGTTGAAATACATCTGTTGCGGGCTATTTGAAAGAGTGCTCTAGTACTATAATTTTCACCAGTCTCTCAAAGAAGAGTCAACCGTCCCAGTCGCAGCCTGGATCTCTTTCTTTCTTTTTCTTTAAATGTTTGACCCCATCCCATGACATGTGTGGTCTTCGTTCCCCTAACCAGTATCACCAGTATCGAACTTGCAGTGGCAGACAGTCTTAACCCCTGGGCTGCCGGGAAAGTCCCCCAGCCTGGGTGCCTAACCCAGCCCACGTTACAGAGTGCTTCTGAATGTGGATGTGTTGTTCTGATGGCCAAACTGTGACCGAGGTCTTTCTCATTGTCATCAAATGGCAAGGGTCAAGGGTGAGAGAAGGGAAGACCGCAGAGGGCGGAATGGCCTGTAGAGGTGAGTGGCCGAACCCTCCGACGACTGTGGCTGCTCAGAGCAGGAGAGGAAGCCCGGTCCATCAACCGGCTTGGAGTCTTTGGGCAAGACCCCTATTCACTCTACCAGCCCCTCAGCCTCCCTGCTGTCGAAGAGGCCTGAGAGCGATCCCTTTCCTAGGACTGTGGGAGACAACACTACGGAGAGCATGAGAACGCCTGGGGATGTGAAAAGCAGGGAGAATGTGACCTGTGATCATGTTGGTGGGCTTGATCTGACTCTCAGGCTATCTATTGTTTCAATTCTCTGCCGCAGTGAGGCTCCTGGGGCTCTCTCCCTGGGCCCTTGCAGAAACAGGAAACGAACACAAAAACTTTTCAAAGTTTGCAAAACAGCATGGCCTACAATGAATCTCTAGCAACTATCAGGGATAGATAGGCTAAAAAGGCCTTATGATGCATTTCCCACTAGTGATAAAATGTCAATTTGCTCTATGTTTCATCTTCAAGGACAAAAACGCAATTGACGGCCAGCCCCGAGCTTGTTTAAAGGACTGCGATGTTCCTGGGACTAATCACTTGTCTTTCACCAGGATGAGTTCCGAGGAGGAGGCCTCATCACCCAGCTCAGGTAAGACAGCACGGAATATTTTCTGGATTCAACCAATTCTATGCAACACTGTCGCTCAACACAGTTCATTGATTGCTATAGATTGAACCAGTTGGGCTGGGAAATGTTCACATATTTCTAGGATTATTTTTGCAAGTAGTAGGGGTTTTGGTGATGGTGTGGGGGTACTGGTGACGGTGTGGGTAATTAATGTCTCAGCTAGGAAAGATGTTTAAACTTGAACTCTTAAAAAAGAAGAAGAATCGGCCTGCTAACTCAGGTTCAATCGCTGGGTCTGGAAAATCCCCTAAAGAAGGAAATGGCAACCTGCTCCAGTATTCTTGCCTGGGAAATCCCATACATAGACAGAGGAGCCTGTCCATGGGGTCATAAACAAACAAACAAACAAAAAACTTGAACTTCTTCTTTTTTTACTTTTATTTGCACTTACTTTATGCTGAATTTATTCCTGCACCATAAGGTTTTGCTTCTTCCGTTTCTTCTGGGGCATGGTTTTCTTCTGTGCAACCATCTGCCCTTTTTCAGTAAGGCTCACTGGCCAGTGGCAGGATTCATGCGGGTTAATCTGACTGTGAGCTTTGTAAACCCAGAGGCATACCCTGGGGCTTTGCTCACCTGGATGAGTTGAGCGCCCAGTGAGAAGTGACATCAGATTAGTTCAGGGTCACTCTCTGCGCATTAAAGCATTTTCGGCAAATACGCAGCACTCTAGGGTCCACCAACCCTGTGCCAGCCCTCTTGGCCTGGGCGTTCGGCCACTGGGACGACGGAGGGGCACACGTTGCTTCTGCAAAGTGACATCTTTCACAGACTTGCCGGCTTTTCAGATACGCACACTTCGATGATCTGGGCAGTGAACATGAAGATTTGAACCTCTGGATTTGCATGACTCTGTGGGTTTTCTGGGTTGAGTAGCAAACTGTTTTCCGAGATCATCTCAGGCTACTTAACAGAAAAGTTGGAACATATTCTTGCTTTCAGTACTGACACTGACTGTCAAGTGATATAGTCAGGAAAACAGACCGCAGGGCAGCCAGATGCTGGGCTGGACAAGGAAACGGCTGAGAGCAGCTTCTTGCTCTTGGTTGGTAGAACTGGAGAGACTTCGTAGGGAGGCTCCTGCCTCCCTGTGCCTGAAGGGATTTAAAGGGGGAGAAACCCTGTGCTTCTCCTCCTGCTATCTATTGTATTCAAAGATTTGAAACAAAAAGTTGCTTTTGTATTAAAATAAACCGGCTCTGTAGTAGAAAGTGAAAAGTGAAAATCGCTCAGTTGTGTCCAACACTTTGTGGCCCCCATAGACTCTACAGTCCATGGAATTCTCCAGGTCAGTCTTCCGGAGTGGGCAGCCTTTCCCTTCTCCAGGGGATCTTCCCAACCCAGGGATCGAACCCGAGGCTAGCCTGAGGGACTGCTCTTTGTCCCCTCCTCTCCTGGGCCCTTAACTCCTACAGACACGGAAGACCAAGTCTTCTCTCTGCCCTCTGCGGTCTCCAGAGGGCTTTACTTTATGCTGAATTTATTCCTGCACCATAAGGTTTTGCTTCTTCCGTTTCTTCTGGGGCATGGTTTTCTTCTGTGCAACCATCTGCCCTTTTTCAGTAAGGCTCACTGGCCAGTGGCAGGATTCATGCGGGTTAATCTGACTGTGAGCTTTGTAAACCCAGAGGCATACCCTGGGGCTTTGCTCACCTGGATGAGTTGAGCGCCCAGTGAGAAGTGACATCAGATTAGTTCAGGGTCACTCTCTGCGCATTAAAGCATTTTCGGCAAATACGCAGCACTCTAGGGTCCACCAACCCTGTGCCAGCCCTCTTGGCCTGGGCGTTCGGCCACTGGGACGACGGAGGGGCACACGTTGCTTCTGCAAAGTGACATCTTTCACAGACTTGCCGGCTTTTCAGATACGCACACTTCGATGATCTGGGCAGTGAACATGAAGATTTGAACCTCTGGATTTGCATGACTCTGTGGGTTTTCTGGGTTGAGTAGCAAACTGTTTTCCGAGATCATCTCAGGCTACTTAACAGAAAAGTTGGAACATATTCTTGCTTTCAGTACTGACACTGACTGTCAAGTGATATAGTCAGGAAAACAGACCGCAGGGCAGCCAGATGCTGGGCTGGACAAGGAAACGGCTGAGAGCAGCTTCTTGCTCTTGGTTGGTAGAACTGGAGAGACTTCGTAGGGAGGCTCCTGCCTCCCTGTGCCTGAAGGGATTTAAAGGGGGAGAAACCCTGTGCTTCTCCTCCTGCTATCTATTGTATTCAAAGATTTGAAACAAAAAGTTGCTTTTGTATTAAAATAAACCGGCTCTGTAGTAGAAAGTGAAAAGTGAAAATCGCTCAGTTGTGTCCAACACTTTGTGGCCCCCATAGACTCTACAGTCCATGGAATTCTCCAGGTCAGTCTTCCGGAGTGGGCAGCCTTTCCCTTCTCCAGGGGATCTTCCCAACCCAGGGATCGAACCCGAGGCTAGCCTGAGGGACTGCTCTTTGTCCCCTCCTCTCCTGGGCCCTTAACTCCTACAGACACGGAAGACCAAGTCTTCTCTCTGCCCTCTGCGGTCTCCAGAGGGCACCTGGGAGCGCTCTGCCTTGCTGAAACCAGGAGCTCCACGAGCAACTGAAGAACAAGGGAAGATTGGATGAGAAACTGGCATTCCTAATTTGTGACTGAGCAGGCAGCTGATTAGATTTCTTTTTAGAAGTGAAAATCAAGGGAGAGTTTGGCCTGACCTTGGAGGTATTTCCTGAAAGAAGATGAGAGGGAAGAAACTCAAAACCATCCCTTTTAGGCAAGTTTCCTGATGTGAGCACGCACAAGGCAGAGGGAGGGTCTTCTGAGCATCCTGACCCCAAAGAGGAAACCGTATTGATCGCTGCCAGCCATTTGTCCTCATGTGCCAAGTCTAAGTCGACAGTGAATTGCTGACCAATTTAGTTCTGCCTGTTGTCTTTTTCATCAGTAACAGCAGACTCAATAATTACCCTCTTTGATTTTTCCAGAGGCATCAGCCCCTGAACTCCCGACAATAAGGAAATATTAATTGAGAGTGAAAATAGAGTTGTTAAACAATAAAATGAAATAATTACAGTATGTGAAGGATATTGTGTCATAAGTACATCAATCTGTTGCAATCGAATTATCAAAGAGGCTTCTAATTCCCAGAAGAGCTGTGCTGTGTCCCAAGGCCATGTTAGGTGAACCTTTGTTGCTTCGGCATTATGTCTTGGTCTGGATGCTTCCCAGGTTTTGCTGTGTCTGGGACTCTCTGAGGTCGTTGGCTGTGTCCGTGTTCTTTGTGGGAAGTGTTTAACAGAGCAGAATTTGGATCAGCAAGCCTCCTGAGTACCAACTCTGGTTGGGCCCAGATTTTCTCTATGACTTGAAGCCAAACAGGCAAACTTGTCTGCCTTTTGTTTTCCCGTTTGGCAAATGAGGAACACATTACTTCTCTACCAAATGTTTCAACACCTGCATACAAAGAAACTTTAGACCTGAGGGGTTATTAATAGTCTGTCTGTTGTATTTCCGTCCAGGGGGCAGGGGGGCAGGTATATTTCAGTCCCGAGTCACCTGTGAGACTTGGCCGAGAATCCTGACACTTGCATCATAGATTTTATTTCTCCATCTGCTTCTGTGGCCTGGCTTAATTTTATCTGTTTTTGGTCACCCTAAGCACTGCATAGATTAGTTCACTGCGAGGATATAACCTCTTCAATCTCATTCCCACTCTTGGCAGATAATCCAACTCTGGTCTTCCTGAGAAGATAGAGGCTGATTTGGGTGAATCAAACTTGCTCATTCTTCTCATTTTCACGTTGATGCATCTCCATCTCTGTGGTTGTCTGCCAGTTTCAGATAAAAATTGAGGAGTGGGGGTCGGGAGGGTCCTCTCTCTCCACCGCCCCCCTCCAGAGCTAACTCTCTCCTCTGTCCCCTTGATCCCTCCATTCAGCTGTTCCTATCTTACTATTTACTGCTTGCACTACCTACCTCTTAGGTCTCCTTTGCAACAGTTTTGAAACATATCCAAGCTGTATTCTATTTTAAAATCACCCAGCAACACCAGAGTGCCTTTCTTGACCTTGCTGTCTCCTCTAGTCTCTTTATTGCCTTCCTTTTGTAGTAAGATGCCTTCATTCCTCTCTCTCTTCCCCAGCTCTGTAGTCTAGCTTCTTTTCCCTGTTGAAACTGCATTTTCAGGGGTCATCTGGGTGCCTGTGTATGCCCAAAGAGGCTTTTGTCTTAGCCTCATTCTTATTTTCTCAAGGCATCCGTTTTCTCTCCCTCTGCTTTGTCTTCCAAACTTCCACTCTGATATACTTCAGTTTATATTTGTCCACCTGTCACCCAGTTAGATTTCCCAAACTTGCCCACTGCCCCGTATCATGGCTAAGGGTCTAAGCTCTGACATGAGCCCACTTGTGGTTGAATTCTCACTCTGCTACTAATTAACCATGTGACCTTGAGCAAGCTCATCCCTGTGCCTCAATTTCCCCATTACGAAAATGAGGATCATAATTAAGAGTACTAACCTAAGAATCAAACAAGATGGTATGCGCACTGTCTACCCCAGTGTTTGGCACTCAGAAATATTCAATAAACATTACCTATTAGCATAACCAGAAGCTCCTGGAACTTTAAAAAAATAGAACTTTTTCCTTCTTCCCACACGTTGTCCAAGTTACCCAACACATACTCAGACAGTAAATAATTATCAACAAATAGATTTATGCACTTGGGTGGAGAGTCCAGGGAAGAAAGAATGATGGAAGGGAGGCTCTTTAATTGCACAAGGACTTTTTATACACAGGCTTTTTTGTTTGGCTTGGTTTTCCCAATAAATCATTTACATTATTGAGAGTTCAAATCAGTCCTTTCAGGACCTGTTTGCTGGGCAGGAAGCGACATCAACGGTCAACGCTCTGGCTGCTGGTGCAGCCATCAGTCACAATGAAGCTGCCTGGCCGGGAACACAGTGTCCCGTCCTGAGATTCAGAACTATTCCAACTGGATTAGGGAGGGAAGCGCCGCAGCGCCTGCCGTTCGCAGGGGCTCCCTGGAACCGGTCCACTGAGCGATGCCGCCATCTAGCGTCCGCCCCCGGGATCGCGGCTGGGCAGGGCCCTCTCATTCCGCGCAGGCGAAGGAGCCTCAGAATTGCAGTCCTTTCTTTAGAAACTGTGGGTGGGACTCGGAGTGAGGGGCGGATAAGTGGCAAACACAGCACAGAGAGGTGGGAAAACAGCTCATCCCGGCCTGGGGAAGGAAAGGATACAAGGGGGCTTGTGTCTACCTAGGACAGGGCTGTGGTTATCAGAGGTCGGCCCCCTCCCCCACTTCAAGCCCATCTAAACTTTGATTTGTGTAGTTTTCCCTCATCTGAGTCTCACTTTCCAGCACTCTGCGCTGACCCGTTATCCTGAACAGACCCTGCTTCTCGTTTCCTTTCTTCTGTGTTAGGAATTCAGGGCTGGGAAAATTGAGCCGAGTCATCCCATCTGGCGGCCACCCCGGGAACAGCAGCTCTGCGCGGTGATCCGGGCTCCGGCCGCACCTGCCGCATCGCCACGTGACCGCAGGTAAGGGCCGGCTCCCGGCTGGGGCCACCGGGCTGCGGCTGGAAGAGGCCACGGTCCACTTGCATCCCCAGACCTTTCTGGAATGTCACTTGGGTCACCACATCAGAGAGTTGATATTCCCTTTGTAAAACTGTAGTAGGCGATTTGATGAAGACTTTTTTCTTTTCTTTTCACAAACTATGCTATCTATCTATGACCAATAGATTATAGATTATTCTATTCAGATCATTGTATTAAGAGCTTTAGATGAGGGTGGGGCTGAAAAGATACCGATGCTTCAAACTCAAGTGTCTCTGTGGTGTGTCCTTACCTGGCCAGCACTCAGGACATCGTCTAGGAGCTGGATACAGGCTTAGAACATAGTCATGGGAAGTGTAGTTTTGGCATCTGAAACTCCTCTCTGCTAGTAGCTATTTTACTTTGAGTTGTTTATGGTCTAACCAGGTGGCTCAGTGGTGAAGAATCTGTCTGCCATGCAGAGGAGATGCAAGAGACGGGGTCCGATCCCTGGGTGGGGAAGATCCGCTGGAGGAGGAAATAGCAACCCACTCCAGTATCCTTTCCTGGAGAATCCCATTAACAGTAGCCTGGTGGGCTACAGTTCATAGGGTCGCACGACACGACTGAAGTGACTAAGTCTGCACACATAGACATAGGTTGTTTATATTACTCTAAACTTCAGTTTCTCCTCTAAAGTGGGCATAAGTAAACCCATCTGTCAAAATTATTGTAAAGTTTAAATGAAATAAAACAAAGACTTCTTATTTGAGAGATTGGGAATGGATTTTAGAGAGCTTATGGTTGAAGGAGTGAATTACTGATATAAAACATGATATTGATATAAAACATGACATCAAATATTTTACCTTAAAAGGTAGAATTTCCCAGTTTTTAATGTGGGGCCATGGCCTTTTCTTTGAATGTAGAATCCTCCAGGGGGTGTTTTTTGAGCTTTTTTGCATAAGCCACATGCAATAACACTGCATCTGTGAGGTCTAGGTTGGGTTTATTTCAATGTAGTGAGAAATTAAAGACATCTGGGAAGACTCAGGTAAAATAACTTTCTGTCCGAACATTCCAATTTAACACTGTTTTCAAACTTCTGTCCACCCACACAAATCTTAATTGGACAGCATTTTTTTTAGCTGCTTCCCCATTGTTGAAACCTCCCAACATATTCAATTTTGTTTTCACAGAAACAACTCCCTTTCTCATATTTCATCAGTTTCTATAATAGTGAAAATTCACAGTTACAGTAACAAGTACAGCTGTTATAAACTGATTCTTGGTAAGCACATGAGGACTAACGCAGCAGAAATTAAGTGAGTACTATGAGCCGCAAGCACTGGTGTGTATGTACCATTCGCAGAGGGCCTGCAGAATATGGTTAACCTAGCAAGTCGGTTCAGTAGAGGTCAGCTAAACAGCCTCTCCTGCAATGCATACAAAGTGCTAAATATAGTGCCTAGCATACACAAGTGTCCAGTAGTGGTAGCTACTAATATTATTATTGTCATTAATAACTTCAGTGTTGGAAGGATTGTTGCAAACCTACCAATTTCTTTCCCTCTCCCTCATTTAACAGATAAGAATTTTGGTCTTCATAGTATAGCTTTTAGTTTTAATGAGTTAAAAGATTATTGATTACAAACCTAACATTTTGAGTCAGAAGGAATTAAATTTGCAGAGGCATTTGGGAGTCAGCCTGAAGGGCAAAATTCATCTAAGTCATGTCTGTTCAGGAAGACCAGGTAAGACCACAACGGGGCCATGAAGACAAGCTTCAGGGTTGCTGTGACGGTGAAACTGTCCCCATCAGGGGCAGGTCATCAGCACAGAGGGAAGGACTTTTCAGACGGGGAAGAATTCATTGAAGAACGTGCATAGCGGCGAACAAAACTCCAAGCAGAGCCTGGCCTTAGGCTCAAGGCGTTCAGGTGTCCTCCGGACTGAGAGGACTCAGTCATGCTAGACAAGGCATCTGAGTCACCCAGCAGAAGAACCCAACTCTCTTAGCGAAGAACGGCTGTTTGGGGCCAGTGGGCTTATGAGTGGAATTATGAACACCTATGGAGAAGGAAATGGCAACCCACTCCGGTATTCTTGCCTGGGAAATCCCATGGACAAAGGGGCCTGGTGGGCTATGGTCCATGGGGTTCCAAGGAGTTAGACGTCACAGCAATTAAATCGGAGAAGGAAATGGCAACCCACACTCCAATATTCTTGCCTGGAGAATCCTGTGGACAGAGGAGCCTGGTGGGCTGCTGTCCCTGGGGCCACACAGAGTTGAACACGACTGAAGCGATTTAGCATGCATGCATGCGTGAACACCTAAGTCTTCAAATCCACACACTCTGTTTCTTCATAGTTTGTTTATAGCATTCCTCTTGGAGATTCTGTCTTGCAGCCGGTGGAGATGATCCTTTTGTTTGATTGGTTTGGGTTGAAAGGGCTTAATTTGCAGAGAGGAGAAGGGAGGCAGGCAGCAAGGCAGGTGGGTGAAGGGAGGCGTTTGAGAGGCCACAAGCTCGGGAGATAAAACTCAGGTGAAGGGCTCAGCAGCCCCAAAGTAACTTTTATGTTTGTTGTATTTTTTAAAACAAACCTTTAAGAATAGTATCCAAGAGGTATGTCCAAGTCACAGCCTGTACAGCTTGGCCTGATTTCAATTTTATTTTGAAAGAGAAATTCAATGTGCAGCCTTAAGTGAGTGGAGTTTGCCTCTTCTGGAGTTGGTTAATTTCCTCCTGAATATTCCGGAGGTTCTTCTACGCCAGCTGTGTGGACCGTCACCAGGCATTTTGTAAATGCAATCAGGCCCTCTGCTCCCTGGGACTCTGATCCCGTAATTATAGAGCAGGGCTGACTTCTAACAAGTACTCTGGGGCATCCCGACATAAGAGGCCCAGCCAATACGGTGAGAAATGCTTTGCTTTCTCCACCCCAAAGATGGAGATGAGCCCTGACACCTTGAGATTAAACAAGATCACAGTTTTTCTCTTCTAATGGGAAGGTGGGAGTTGGTGAGCTACTGTGGGGCCCTGTGTTTTTCTAAACACAACTGAATCCCCCAAGCAGGGTGCTCAACCTCACATACTCTGCTCAGCTTGAGAGCCTTCCACGGCCTTAAATTCTATTAGGTGTGCCTCTTAAGAAACGACAAGGCTGGGACTTCCCTGGTAGTCCGGTGGCTGAGTCTGCCTGCCAGTGTAGGGGAAATGGGTTCGATCCCTGGTCCGGGAGGATCCCACGTACCATGGGGCAACTAAGCCTGTGTGCCACAACTTTTGTGCCTGTGTACTGTGCTCTGAAGCCCATGCAGCCTAGGGCCCTCTAGCCGCAACTAGCGAGTAGGCTCTGCTCATAGCAACTGGAGAAAACCTGCCTGCAACAACAAAGACCCAGTGTAGCCAAAAATAAATCAATAGATAAATTTTTAAGAAAGAGGTGAGGCCTTTCCCTTCTGAGGCCTGGGGAAGCGGCCTGGGTGGTGAAAGCCGTCAGCTGTGCTGTGCCAATCCTGCAAGAGAGGCCAGAGTGAAGACCAGGGAAGCAGGTTGGCTTTCCTTCCTTCGGGCATGATGGGGAGAAGCTTCAGGCATGATTTTCTTATGCCTCGGAACAGGGACACCAGCTGTTTGTTACTGAGGCCTGTGCCCTCCTTGGGGAGTGACCATCAGCTCGAGGGAACTTTCTTCTTCTAAGGACATACCCACGGCTCAGCGCCCGTAGGCTCTGATCCAAAGCATTCAGCCTGAGGAGTGGCAGGTTCCTTTGATAAAAAAGGTTGTGTCCAGAAATTACCCAGAAAAGAACAACCAAGCATGTTGTTGTGTGTTTTTTTTTTTTTTGCCTCAGTGCAAATTTTTAAATCCCTTCATTCTGGAAGGGGATGACGAAGTAGTACTGTGGTTTTTTTTTTTTTTTTAAAGGCCCTGGATCTCAACATGTGGCGGTGCCTGGACTGGGACCATCCCAGCATCACTTGAGAGCTGGTTACAAATGCAGATCGATGGGTCCTGCCTCAGGTGTACGGAATCAGAAACCCTGGGGACGGGCTCTGGGAACCTGTGTTTTAATAGGTCCTCCAGGTGATTCCGATGTGCACTTAGGTGTGAGAACCACTGGCTCAGTGCGAAGTGTATGGGAACACCTTTATTCAAGAAACAAAAACCATCTTGCTAGGGGACTTCCCTGGTCCAGTGGTTAAGACTCCACTCTTCCAATGCAGCTGGTGTGGGTTTGATCCCTGGTCGGGGAACTAAGATCCCACATGCCACGTTGACGTAAAAAAGAAAAAAATCTTGCTAGTTAGTGGGAGTGCAGTGTTTGGGGGTGGGAGGGGGTGGGGGTTTGGAGTCCCTCATTGCAGTGGTGAGGGGAGGTGTGCTGTCCAGGGATGAAGGAGCAATAGAGACAGCGGTTACATGGTGAAGAGGTGTCTTCATGGGTCTCCTGAGTATCTTCTGACTAAGAGAGCATTACTAAAACCAGCTTGGGTTGGGGTAGGGGGGCAAAGATGATGGAGAAGCCAAATCCCCATGTACCTTCAGGTCATAGTCAAATGTTCCGAAGCACAGCTGTTTAACAGGACTGGGTTCTAAGCAGTCACCTGCGTTAAATAAATTCAGAACTCTAGCAAAATTAGCAGGGTTAAAAAAGAAAAAAATCTTGCTAGTTAGTGGGAGTGCAGTGTTTGGGGGTGGGAGAGGGTGGGGGTTTGGAGTCCCTCATTGCAGTGGTGAGGGGAGGTGTGCTGTCCAGGGATGAAGGAGCAATAGAGACAGCGGTTACAGGGTGAAGAGGTGTCTTCATGGGTCTCCTGAGTATCTTCTGACTAAGAGAGCATTACTAAAACCAGCTTGGGTTGGGGTAGAGGGGCAAAGATGATGGAGAAACCAAATCCCCATGTACCTTCAGGTCATAGAGTCAAATGTTCCGAAGCACAGCTGTTTAACAGGACTGGGTTCTAAGCAGTCACCTGCGTTAAATAAATTCAGAACTCTAGCAAAATTAGCAGGGCCAACTTGTCCTGGCTTGCCCAGGACTTTTCGGCTGTTAGCTCTGAAAGTCCCATGTCCCAGGAAACCCATCAGGGCCAAGCCCCAGTGTGATTTTTTTTGCATAGCACTCATCTATTCTCCAGTTCTTTGGTGGGTACTGACTGGGTGCCCCACAATTCATTTCCATTTAGATCAGTTCAGTTCAACTCAAACACTATCTACTTGGAGAGAGCATCAGATCCCACAGGTTAAGGGCTCAGTCCCCATACTTTAGAGGCCAATCCCAAGTCCAGGTTGTCACCAGAGCTTGTGACCAGCCAGCTGTAGACTGAGGGTTCCCATAGCCCACCTCTTGGGTTCGATTAATTTGCTAGAGCAGCTCGTAAAACTCAGAGGAACATTTTACTTCCTGAATCACGGGTTTATTATAAAAGGATATAACTAAGAAACAGCCAGATGGAAGAGATGCACAGGGCAAGACGTGGAGAAAGGGCAAGGAGCTTCCCTGCCTCTCCAAGTACACAACCCTCCCTAAAGCTCCATGTGGTCACCAATCTGGAAGCTCTCCATCCTTTTGGGGTTTTGTGGAGGCCTCTTTACCTAGGCACGGTTGATCAAATCATTCACCACTGGTTACTGAACTCAATCTCTAGCCCTCTCCTCCTAGGAGAAGAGGCGGTGAGACTGAAAGTTCCAGCCCTCTGATCACTGGATTGGTTCCCCTGACAACCAGCCCCCACCTTTAGATGATTTAGGGCCACCTCATTAGCATAAGAGAAGATGCTTTTATGGTTCTAATCACTTAGGGAATTCCAAGGGTTTTAGGACCTCTGTGCCAGGAATGGGGCCAAGACCAAATATATGTTTTTTTATTATAAATCACAATATCACCAGGGCAAAACAAGATGATTGGTCACTAGTCTATTCAGTAACTGCACATTGGAATTACTTGGTGAGTTTTTAAAAAAATACTCATTCCCAGGCCCACCTCCAGAGATGATGGTAGACTTGGTCTGGGGTGTAACTGCTGCTGCTGCTGCCAAGTCGCTTCAGTCGTGTCTGACTCTGTGCGACCCCATAGACGGCAGCCCACCAGGCTCCCCCGGCCCTGGGATTCTCCAGGCAAGAACACTGGAGAGGGGTGCCATTTCCTTCTCCAATGCATGAAAGTGAAAAGTGAAAGTGAAGTCGCTCAGTTGTGTCCGACTCTTAGTGGCCCCATGGACTGCAGCCTACCAGGCTCCTCCGTCCATGGTATTTTCCAGGCAAGAGCACTGGAGAGGGGTGCCATTGCCTTCTCCACTGGGTGTAGACAGGGCATTAAATGTTTCGAAGTTCCTTAGGTGATTCCAACATGAGCAGGGTTGAGAACCACTCTAGCTACATGCCTGTCAATTCTACTAAAAATTTTTTTAAAAACCAAAACAAAGGTTAATGGTTTTGACGAAGCTGAACCCCAACTGCACACTATACACAAAAATTGACTCAAAATGGATGAACAGTCTAAGAGTTAAAACCATAAAAATCTTAGAAAACATAGGGGTAAATATTTGTGACTGGATTTGGTAGTGAATTCTTACACTTGAAAGCCTGAACAACAATGACAACAACAAAAATGGTTAGACTTTGTTAAAACTAAAAACTATTGTACATAAAACCATTATCAAGAAAACAAAAAGACAATATACTGAATGGGAAAAATATTTGTAAATAAAATGTCCAATAAGGGTCTGTGCTGTGCTAAGTCACATCAGTCGTGTGTGATTCTGTGACCCCATGGACTGTACCTACCAGGCTTCTCTGTCCATGGGATTCTCCAAGCAAGAATACTGGAGGGGGTTGCCATGCCCTCCACCAGAGGATCTTCCCAACCCAGGGATCGAACCCACGCTTCTCACGTCTCCTACTTTGGCAGGCAGGTTCTTTACCACTACACCACCTGGGGAGCCCTTGATAAGGGTCTAGTATCCGGAGTGTGGGGCTTCCCTGGTGCCTCAGATGGTAAAGAATCTGCCTGCAATGTGGGAGACCCAGGTTCAATCCCTGGGTTGTGAAGATCCAAGGAGGACATGGCAATTCACTCCAGTTTTCTTGTCTGGAGAATCCCTATGGACAGAAGGCCTGGCAGGTTACAGTCCCTGGGGTCACAAAGAGTCGGACACCATTGAGCCACTAGGCACACACATGCACACATCCAGAATATGTAAAGAGCTCTACAACTAAAGAACAAAAAGATAGACCAACTCAATTAAAAAATAGGCAAAGGATTTTAATAGGCATTTCTCTGATAAAGGTATGCAAACTACAGACAAACATACTAAAAGATGCCAGTAGTCATTTAAAAAGTGCTAATCAAACCCAGAAGGGCAAACCACTTCACACCCACTAGGATGAATGTAATAATAATTTTTAAAAACTGGAAACTAAACTTTTGGTGATGTGGGAAGATTGGAACTCTTGCACATTATAGCCACTGTGGAAAACAGTTTGGCAGTTCCTCCAAAAGTTAAATATAGATTCACCATGGTGATGGTTTAGTCGCTAAGTCATGTCTAACTCTTGTGAACCCCATGGACTGTAGCCCGCCAGCCTCTTCTGTTTATGGTATTCTCCAGGCAAGAATACTGGAGTGGGTTGCCATTTCCTTCTCTGGGGGATCTCCCCAACCCAGGAGTCATATCCAAGTCTCCTACATTGCTGGTAGATTCTTTACCGACTGAGCTACGAGGGAAGCCCATTTAGAATCACTGTATGACTCAGCAATTCCACTCCTGGGTATATACCAAGAATTGAAAGCAATCGCTCAAACACTTGTACACCATTGTTCATAGAAGTGCTATTCGAAGTACCCAGAAGGTGAAAACAACCCAGTGTCCATCAAAAGATGAAATGTGGCCTTTCCATACCATGAAATATTACCTAGACATGAACAGGAATAAAGTACCAGTATGTGCGACAACGTGGATAAACCTCAAAAACATCCTGCCAAGAGAAAGAAGCCAGACCCAAGAGGCCATAGTATTGTTTGATTCCATTTATATTAAATATTCAGAATTAGGTAAATTCGTAGAGACAGAAATCCAATTAATGGTTGCCAGGACTGGGTGGGGAGGGTAGAATGGTGATTTCTTAATGGGTATGGGATTTTCTTTGATGAAAATGTTTTAGGACCTGATAAAGTTGGTGGTTGCACAACATTATTAAAATAGTTAATTGTATGTTACATGGATTTCATCTAAAAAGAAATCAATGGCTCACTCATATACAAATTAAAACTAAATTAAATTTAATTACATAATTAAACTAATCAAATTTAACTTAATATTACAATTAAAACTATAAACTCTCTAGTCAGTCCTTCACGGCTGGCCTTAAACTACTTCCTGATGTCTTATCTTTTACCACTTTCCTGTTTTAATTGTTATTATTACCTCTCCTAGGAAACATACTACATGGAATCCTACTGGAATCTCGATGTGTGCAGTATGCTTCAGCCTTTCCTTTAAAGCTCTCTTGCATGCAGTGGGACATCTCTACCAGCACTTCTAGTGCATAGCCTTTTCTTATCTCCTGTAGCTTCCAACTTTGCATCCTTGCTCTCAAAGCGTGGTACTCTGGATTGGCAGCCTTGATGTTACCTGGGAGCTTACAAGAAAGGCAGGAAGCCCCACCCCAGACCCCCTGAGTCTGAATCCGCATTTTAACAAGTTCCTCTGATAACTCATGTCTGATAACTCACGTCTGAGAAGCACTGGTTTACACCAGTGGGTCTCAAACCAGGCTGCAGATCAGAATCACTTTGCAAGCTGTCTTTATTTATAATGTATTGGGTTGGCCAAAAAGTTCGTTTGGGTTTTTGGCCAACCCGATATATTCTAAATAATATACACACGTGGTAAAATTGCAAGCTGTATAGAAACAAAGAAGAACAAAGAGCTTGGCTTAGCACCTGGTTCTTCAAGGAATAAGCCCTAACCCACTGCAGGCTTTGACCGAGGGTGCACTCCCAGAGGTGGTATCTCACTGTGGTTTTGATCTATGTTTCCCTGATGATTTGTGATGCCGGAGTTGCTCTTTATCTTCCGAGGTGACTGGCCCATCTCCTTGGTGACAGCTTCCCCAGGACAAACCTCAAGGATGCTGCTTCTATAAAGGAGCACCTGGCACTGGGCTTTGAGTGTCTGTGGCTCATATGATGATTTGTTCTTTTTTCAGTTCCATGGACCAAACACCGGGAAGAATGCTGGGCGAGCCCCTTTCCAGCCCCACCACCCAGTCCAAGAAGAAAAGCACATCAGTGATGTCTTTCTTTTCCAAGGTCTGAGACAAATTATTATGAACAAATGGCCTGTCTCAGCAGCCACTTTGCGATACGTGTGCTTGCGGGTTCTTTCCATTCCTTCTACTGAGGTGCCTCTTCTGAAAACCGTTTGATGGCAGCTCTTAACACGAATGAATTGTTTATAGGATAACAAGAAGATGAGTTGGGAAGAATTTAGCTTGCTGTGAACTTAATGATAATAATATAGAATGAACTGCAATGAATATTCAGAAATACTGATGAGCCTTGGTAATCACACAAACACCAAATAGGACTGTGGGTCTCGTCTCCAGCCCCATCCCACACCCTCTATTAAGGATAATTAGGATCTTGCCTGAGTCTTGCATTGTCTTGGTTCTGACTCCAACACATTGCCATGTTCTGTGATGCCCAGGACAACACACCCTTCTTGGTATCAGGGCTCAAATCTCTAATATCCCATCTCTTGCCTGACAGTTAGAGTTTAGACCTTGAAGTCCAGATTTCTGCATCAGCCACATAGTGCTTCCCAATGTGCATTATTTATGCATTTCTTTTCCTAATCTTCATTGCTCAGATGCTCGCATTCTAGGGTAGGACATCTTTCAGGTGCCCTGAAATGCTTGTTGATGTGCTTTGCTAATTGTGTCAAAGGCTCTCGAGAGGTAGAGTGAAATGAGCACTGAGAATTGACCCTGGGATTTAGTCCTACTGGGGACAGAGAGTGGGGGAAGGGGTATGGGTGCCATTAGCCTGATGGGTGAAGGTTCAAGAAAGAATGGAGAGGAGGAGCTGGAGAAAGTGAATATAGACACGTTTTTCAAGGTTTAGCTACAAGGTGGAGCAGAAAAACAAGAGCCATGAGAGAAAGAAGGTCAAGGAAACCCTTCTTTGGGACTTGGGGAACACAGCTTCCCCTGTCCCATTAAAGAGATTGGGCTTCTCAGATCACATGAATGCTCCTAAAGCCCCGTTGTCTCAGCTCTGTCACATGCACAGCTGCCCAGACACTCCTCTCTGTAATCCCCCCAAACCTACCTCAACATAAGCTCTGCGTCATTTTTCTCCACCCCCTTTTCTCTTCCTCCCGTCTTTCCTCCAATACATAGATTAAACAATATATTCCCAGCAAAAGCCAGGCGTCTTTAGGCAGAGAAAGAAGGAGTAAAATCAAGCAGCAAAACAGGTTTTTTTTACAGGGAGGGATTAGGGTTGGTGATGGGTAGGGTGTCACTCTGAACACTTCCAAATCAATGTATTTTTGACCCACCACCTAGGTCTCTTGGAACCTGAGGCTTCAGAAGCAGGAACCTCTGAAGAATGTGTTTTTCATCTTGGCAGAGACAGCCCGGGACCCCAGTGTTAAAAAGCGTCATATGGTGATGAGAGGCCTGGGAACCATGGCCTGTGAGATCCCGGACAAGGTAGGAAGGGCAGGGGGCGCTCGGCCAGCCCTCGTGGCCTGGAGTCCCCAGGACTGGGGGTCTACTGCTGTGTAATGGATCTCCATGGCCTGGCATTCATATCTTTCCGTTTTCTTGGGTCAAGAGTCCAGGTACAGTTCAGCTGGGTCCTCTGCCCAGGGGCCTGCAAGGCTGCCATCAAGGTGTGGGCCAGATTGCATTCCTTTCTGAAGTTCAGGGTCATCTTCCAAGCTTTGGGAGCTGTTGGAAGAATTTAGTTCTTTTCCGGTTGTAGAACTAAGGTCCCTCTTTCCTTGCTGACTGGCCGTCCTCGGCTCCCAGAGGCCGCCCTCACACAGCATGGCAGCTTAGTTCTTCATGGTCAGCAGGAGAGTGTCTCCCCGTCCTGTCTGCCTTGGGATCTAAGGGAACCATGGAATGACATCCATCACCACCGTGACGTTTGAGAGGTCAGAAGCTCTCAGAGTCCCTGGCTCCTCCCACCCTCAAGGGCAAGAGACTGTCCAGAGGCTCATGTGACTCCGTTGGGGTCAGTTCAGGGTCATCATTCCTCAGGATCATCAGTCTTGGGATACAGAACCTCAGGCAAGATTAACACACGGCTGGACATCACCCTCCAGTGAATTTAATTTTTCTTTTTTTTTTTTTTCCCCATTTATTTTTATTAGTTGGAGGCTAATTGCTTTACAACATTGCAGTGGTTTTGGTCATACATTGAAATGAATTAGCCATGGATTTACATGTATTCCCCATCCCGGTCCCCCCTCCCACCTCCCTCTCCACCCCATCCCTCTGGGTCTTCCCAGTGCACCAGGCCTGAGCACTTGTCTCATGCATCCAACCTGGGCTGGTGATCTGTTTCACCCTAGATCTATATGTTTCGATGCTGTTCTCTTGAAACATCCCGCCCTCGCCTTCTCCCACAGAGTCCACAAGTCTGTTCTATACATCTGAGTCCCTTTTTCTTTTTTTTCATATAAGGTTATCGTTACCATCTTTCTAAATTCCATATATATGTGTTAGTATACTGTAATGGTCTTTATCTTTCTGGCTTACTTCGCTCTGTATAATGGG